AATTTGCATGTTTTTATCAGTAAGCTGATTTCTATTGGCCTTTTGTACTACTTCTATGAAGTGTCTGTTCATAGCTTTTATCTTTTTTCTTTTTTTGAGACAGTCTCACTCTTGTCATCTGGGTAGAGTTGTGGCATCACAGCTCACAGTAACCTCAAACTCTTGGGCTCAAGCTATTCTCTTGCTTCAGCCTCCCTAAGTAGCTGGGACTACAAGTGCTCGCCACAATGCCTGGCTATTTTTTGTTTGTTTGTTTAGCAGGCCTGGGCCAGGTTCGAACCCACCAGCACCAGAGCATGTGGCTGGCATCCTAACCACTGAGCTACAGACACCCCCAGATAGTTTTTCTATTTTTAGTAGAGATGAGGTTTCATTCTTGTTCAGGCTGGTCTGAAACTCCTGAACTAAAAGGGATTCTCCTGCTTTAGCTTCCCAGAGTGCTAGGATTACAGGTAATCTGGCCCATACCTTTTTTTTTTTTTTTATAGGTTAACGGGAGAGTACAAACCATTAAGTTTCAATGTTTGCATCTGTTAGGTAGAATCCCTGTTGTAGTTGTGTGGTATCATTTATCTTTATCAATTTTTCCAGTTGATATGCACTTAGCAATTTATGATTGTTCCTTGTACATAACAATCCTAACCTTGCCCTGCCATGCTGCAAATATTGTTTCCCAATCTTTTTCAGCTTTGCCCATGGGGCCTCTGATAAACAGAAGTGGCCATCATTTTTATGAAGTGAAACCTACCTTGTTCTTCCTCATAGATATAATGCTTAGCTCATTTTAGACACTGTTTAAAATTTACATCTATTTATTTATTTATAAACAGAGTCTCACTTTGTTGCCGCTGGTAGATTGCCATGGTGTCATAGCTCACAGCAACCTCAAATTCTTGAGCTCAAGCAATTCTCTTGCCTCAGCCTCCCCAGTAGCTGGGACTACAGGTATCTGCCACAACATTTGGCTATTTTTAGAGGCAAGGTCTTGCTCTTGCTCAGGCTGGTCTTCAATCTGTGACCTCAGGCAACCTACTCACCTCTACCTTCAAGACTGCTAGGATTATAGGCATGAGCTACGTACCCAGCCTCTAAAATTTACTTTTAGTTAATTCATTACTATTACGGATTTCTGCCTCCTAACATTCCCCAAAAGGCCTTCATTTTTTTTTTTTACTTTTTTTTTTGAGACAGGACCTCACTCCACTCCATCACCTTGGCTAAAGTGCAGATGGTATCATCATAGCTCATAGCAACCTCAAACTCCTTGGCTCAAGCAATTTTCCTGTGTTACCCTCCCAAGAAGCTGGGACCACCAGCAGTACCACCTTACCAAGCTCATTTTTCTATTTTTTTTGAGAGATGGGGGTCTCACTCTTGCTCAGCTGGACTCAAATTCAAGCAATCCTCTTGTCTAGACCTCCCAAAGTGCCAAGATTACAGGTGTGAACCACCATTCCTGACTGTAAAGGGGTCTTTAAAGGTTTAAATCTTAACTCTATCTGAAATTTATTCTGTGGTATGGGTGAGATCAGGACTCCTCCTAACATAACTGAACTCCCTCCCCTAGCAAAATTATCCCCATCCACAAACATAGCCATTTAACTCCCTTCTCTCCAGCCAACTAGCTCCCTCTACTTAGTTCCACAAAGGAAGAAGTCCAAGTCACCAGTAGCTCTCCCCTAGGACTATCCTCTATCTGCTCTTTCTTGCTTCCATTCTTACTCTTCCCTGCAATCAAATCAGTTCTTCCCAGAGTAACCACAGCAGTATGGTTGTTTTGAGACAGATACTGTCACCCTGGGAAAAGTGCAGTGGCGTCATTGTAACTCACTGCAACCTCAAACTCCTGGGCTCAAGGGATCCTCTTGCTTCAGTCTCCTGAGTAACCTGAGTACAGTTGTGCACTATAATGCCCAGCTAATTTTTCTATTATTAGTAAGGACGGGGTGTAGCTCTTGCTCAGGGTGGTCTCAAACTCTTGACCTTAAGCAATCCTCTTATGTGGCCTCCCGGGGTGTTTTTGGTTTTTTTGAGACAGAGTCTCACTTTGTTGCCCTTGGTAGAGTGCAATGGTGTCACAGCTCACAGCAACCTCAAACTCTTGGGGCCAAGCAATTCTTTTGCCTCAGCCTCCTGAGTAGCTGGGAATACAGGCGCCCACCACCTGGCTCAGGATGGTCTCAAATCTGTGAGCCCAGGCAATCCACCTGCCTCAGACTCTCAAGAATGCTAGGATTATAGGCCAAGCGTGAGCCACTGCGCCCAGCATTGTTGTTTTTTGTTTTTTTATGTAAACTTGACACTCTCCTGCTTATAACTGTCCAATAACTTCCTACAGGAATCAAAATTAAATCCTGACTCCTTAGCATAATTTACAATACCCCATGCTTCTCCAGCCTATTTCTGTATCACTGTATTCTCACACTCAGCTCCAGCCACACTGGCTGCCCGTCAGCCCCTAGGACAGGCCTAGTTCACTTCCCCGAGCCCTCTTGCACTTATACTGTTCCCTTTGCCTGAAAAGCTCTTGTCCTAGAATTAGATGAGTGGCTGCTTCTCATCATTCACGTAATGCCAGCTCTTCAGAGAGGCCTTCCCCGGACCCTGACACCATCCCATGCAAAGTAGCCCCACCTGAGTGACTCTCCATAGTATTACTCTGCTTCCCTTTATTGGAAGTGCTTACCATTAACTAAATTATCTTGTTCATTCATGTATTTCTATTTGTCTTTCTCACCTGCCCCGTCTTAAAGAAAGTGCTCTGGACGTTGGGGTCGTTATCATATTCAGCTCTGTAGTCCCAGAGACTGTTGGAGCTATTACATAGCAGATGTTCGATTAATACGTGTAAGGGGAGGGGAAAAGACTCCGTAGGATTCGTCCGTCTGATCTCAATTAACTTAACTTTGGAGTGTGGAATCAGTCGCCCTTTTCTCCCTCCTTCGCACACTCCAGTCAGGCCCCCCATCTCCGACACTCCTCGCAAAACGCAAAGCTCTGGGAGGCCCGAAACTGGACCCTGCAATAATGGGCTCGACGCTGGCAAGCCGGACTTCCAGCTAGTCACCAGCAGGCAGAGGAAGCGCCAAGTTTCCGCCGCCACCGTTCAACCCCGCCTTCAGGCGCAGGAGGGAGGAGGAGGAGGGCTGAGCAGCTTACCAGTTCATCCGGACTTAGGACTCCGAACTGCACTCTCTTGATGGTGCGCAGCGGGCATGCGCTGTCCCCGGAGGGGGGGCCACCTCCATGCATCGCGGAGGCTGGCGCGCTGCGCAGGCGCAAACCTCACTACAAAAAGCCTGAGCCGCCTCCGCTTAGGTGCTCAGAGCCCGCCGGGGCGGCCGCCGGGGAGGACCTCCCAGAGTTGGGAGGAAAAAGCCAGAGGAGGGGAAAGATGGGGGAGGGAAAGAGGCGGGGAAATAAAAAAGAACGAAAGCAGCTCTTCTCTCCCTTTCCGGAGATTTTTCGGCTCGCAAAAAGAAAAAAAGGGAGGGGAAGGGAAAGGATTTGGGGGGAGGAAGAAGAAAAGGGTAACGAATAAATAAGAAACCGGGCTCCCGAACGGCAGAGGTTACGGCAGTTTGTCTCTCCCCCTTCCGGGAGCCGCCTTCTTCTCCAACCGTCCTGGCCGCGCTCTCGGCGCTTCTGAGAAGCGAATTCGCCAGATGACGCCTTTTATAGATTCGCCCCGCATCCCCGCCCCTTCCTTTCCCGCCCTCCCTTGCGCTACGGGGTCGCCTTGCTGGCCCGCACGGGGCGCGCGCTCTAGTCGTTGACCCACCTTTCCCGACTCCCTGATTGGGCAGCCTTATGGAATGACAGCGGGGGGAGGGAGTGCCACTACCTCCCTTCACTTCTCCCTCCGGCTGTGAGGTTTAAGGTTTGAAGGACCAAGGGTAAAATCAGGCCGCTTTTATTCTAGTTTGGAATACGGTTTCCTTTTCAGCGGAAGTCTGTCATTAATATCCTCCCCCCTAAGCTGGAAAATAGTCTATTCTGCGAATCGGTAATGGAGGAGGGTCCGGTCGGGTCGTCCCGAGTGGATTCCTAGGGGGGGAGTGCAGGGGCAGTCCTTGGTCATGAATATGCAGCTTCGTGCTGAATATGCATGAGCAGATCAAGATGGCGAGGCCAATTGCTTGTCCGGAAATAGCCGATATTTATCAAGCGGCCTCCAGAAATGAGTGGTCATCTCCTGGTCTCTAATGAGCGCTGTAACGAATCTTAGCCCTGGATTCCCAGGCTGAGCTGCTCCGAGAGGACTTACTCTGAGGCCTGCTTTCGAAGGCGGCGGGCGGCTGTCCGGGAGAGACCACAGGACCGCGACAATCCAGGAAAAGCAGATTAGCCATGGGGCAGGACACGAAAGTCCTGGGGGAATTGGGGGGGGGGATTGTCAAGAAATCTGAACATTAGGAAATCTTCCACCTTCTAGAATATTTCAGAAATAAGATGGGGGCGGGGATCCCAAGGGATTCTCTAATAAGAGCGACTGTAAGATTTCCGGTCTCCCTCCAAAGCAGAGATGACACCACTGCACAGCCACATTCAGAGTAATCCTTGTTTGATGACAATATCACTGTCACGTCACCACTTCAATGTGGGGCACAACCCGGAGGAAAGAAAACCGTGGCCCAGGGGGAGCGGTGGCGCGGGGCGCATATTCTCCTCCCCCAGTGCAGCTGCTTGCTTTGTCTTCACCCTAACTCCCGGGAAAACGCCAGCCCCAGTGCTCTTCTCTCTCCTGCTGAGGGAAGTCCTCCCCATGGTCCATGGCCAGCCTGTCTCAGCCTCTTAGATCTGCTCTTCAGACTTTACCCCTTAGTTAACCCCTGATTCTCAGGACCTGGCCTAGCTGGACTCCACATCCCTTGGTCCCAAGCTTATTACACGTCTTCCATGTACTCCCTCCACCAACTCCCCAAGTCACCCATGACTCCAAGAGGTGTCCCTTTCCCACACCAGTTCTTTTCCAGTCACTGATTCGCCCAGGTTTATATTTCAGTCTCTCTTTTCTATTTACCCCTGCCCCCCCCAATCCCCAGGATCTCTCACTCCTCCACCTGCCCTTCCTTCTCACAGCTGAGGTTCTGGGCTGTGATGATAGCAATGCTGCCCAACACAACCCCTGCCCCCATAATGTCAGAAGGTGCCACAGTCTCATAAAGCACGTAATACTGCAGCATCAGGGCCACCACCACCTCAGAGTGCAGGACAGCACATACCAGGGCAGGGTGGGCCTTAGTAACTGCATAGCTCACACACACAAAGGAGACCAAGGCAAGGATCCCCACTGCTCCCACACAACTCCAACTCAGAGGGTCATTGGGCAGCACAGGGGTCTGCAGTACAAAAAGACCTGGCACAGAACCCAGCAGCCCCACCAAGCCAAACAGGAAGGCCACTGTTGGAAGGCAGGAGGGGAAGTGCAGGGAACGATAGACCAGAAGCCCCAGCGACAGTGCCAGGCCTCCTAGGAAAGCCAGCACATAGCCCAGGGCAGTATAGAGGCCTGTGGTCCCCTCCTGCAGTGTTCCTAGTCCAGGTCCTACAATGATGATTAGTCCTAGAGTGCTGCCCAACAGTCCACACCAGTCGTAGCCGCTGAGACCCTGGCTCTCGAGGCAGAGGGCAAGGAGAGCAGAGCAGACAGTGGAAGAGCCTTTGCGAACTGTGGCAGCGTTGCCAGCAGGCACCACCTGAACCGCACTGTAGGCACATCCAATGCTGAGGACGTTGAGCAGGGCATGGAGGCAGGCCCGGCCTCGGAAATCAGGAGGTCCCAATAGTGGGTCACCACGCAGTTTAAGTAGCAGGGCAATGGGGAGATGAAAGAGGCATCGGCAGATGAGCAGCTCCAATGAGGGCAAGTGGGAAGCCTGGTAAGCCATACGGGAGAAGGGGCCCACGAAGCCAGCGGGCAGACCCCCACCCAGCAGGGCCACAAGCAGGCCCTTGGTGGCATCAGAGGGCCGGCAGCGCTGGTGCGAGGGCAGGCTGGGTGGAGTGGAGGGCGGCGATGGCTGGGTGAAGTCAGGCAGGTTGAAGTAGGGGTGACTGCCAGCCTGTTAGGGAGAAAGGAGCTCAGCATAAGGGTGGCCATAGCCTAGGGAGACTGGGGCAGGCCAATGTCAGGCTGGGGGTCTAAGGCCCTATAGTATAGAAGAGGGGCAGGCTGTCTTACTGAGGAATTCTTAGGAGCTAGAAAGGGCCCGAAAGATGTATGAGGTGGTACAATGGGGGCCTAGAGCATCTAAAGCAGGAAGCAGGGAGTGAGCAGTCCTGAAGCATCATATTTCTTGGGTAAGTTGTTCCTAGGAGAAAAAAGACCCAGGGATGCTCTGTTGTTTTGAGGAAGGGGAGGTGGCTTCAGATATGTGTCTGTGTGATGTCACAGGTTCCAGCAACAACTGGGTATACCATGATGAATTTCATTTTGAGTGTCTCTAGGGTAGCTGGGAAGTTTCATAGAAGAAGGGGAAGGGGAGCAGCCAGGAGCTACATGGGAAGAGTGTTGCCCTATGCCCCCTTGCCCCCCCACACTCACCATCTTTCCTTGGACTTCCTCCTCTCCTCCTGGCTCAGGGGGCCTGGGCCCCTCAAAGCTCCAGCCATTGTGACCTGGTTGGAGTGGGGGTGGGGTTCTTCTCTGGAACCTTCCTTAGAAGGTGGTGGGTGGGCCTATTTTCTCATCGATTCCAACTCTCCATGTTTTATATTTATGTTTCCATGACTCCAAAGTTTGTCTCCTTATGACTAGCTCTGTTGCTTTAAATTAGTTTATTTATGTCTTTGCTTTAGAAAGGTCTTAAGAAAAGGGGCTCTCCGGACCCTCCAGACAACAATGACGGCTGCAACCAAAAAATGGCCGGGCGTTGTGGCGGGCGCCTGTGGTCCCAGCTACTTGG